TGATTAATTACAGTGTATACAGCGTACAAAGGGTGGTGAATGAAGGCCCGTACTGTGGCTCGTCATGATATGAGATTCTATCACAACATTCTGAACAAATATTTACATGGGGTATTGCTTCTTGGATAAACTGATTTTTGGACTCAGAGGTGGTTCAGTGATAACCTACTTTAAATGATCTATTTCATCATGTTTCAGAGCCTCAAAGCAAAACTGGCCGATACAAACAAAATTTGTATTTTCATCTGTGGTGTCTGTCCTCAAATATCAGACCAGATTAAATATATTGAGGGAGTCCAATGAAGCAATCGACCCGACTGCCTCGGCTTCTCTTCCTCTCTCTTTTTCTGCCTTTTTCTGTCAATCTGTCATCCTTCCTCCGAATCTCTACTCACTCCTTCTTTTTCCTTCTAAATTATTCTTTCTGTCTCTCTACAGGAGGAATCCAGCCGCATAGAGAGAGCAGAGGAGGATCGATGCATGAAGGATAGGATCCCCTGTCTACTACAGCAAGCCAGCACAGTTTGCTGTTTAGACTCCCTCAGCTATTGACTGGGGCTCCACTGCACCGATCAATACATAAATACATAAATAAATGAAAACACTCTCTTAACAAGTCAGTCAATCTAGACCTGAATCTAAAAATGTAATTGAGTTTACCTACCCCAGGGTACAGGTACAGTTTTTTTGATATGACCAATATACTCTGACTTATTTAGCCAAAATTAATACATTACAAATACAATTTTAGTAATTCTGTTCATTGTCAAGATTGTATAAAAGGGTCAATGATACACACTGCTTTATTTTATTGATGGTCCTTGAACCACTGATCAATTCCATTGATATATACAGTGCTCTATGGTATCTACTGTATATAAAATGGATGTTTTAACACAAGTCATCAGTCATCAAGCAGCCTGACCAAGGATACATTCATACTAATACTTTTTGTTGGAAATCTAAAATGATCTCTGTCCATGCAAGTGTTTTGGCTCTGTATCAGTTTTAATCTCCTCCATACTAACTAATCTGGAAATTAATATCACATGACCATTCTCATATACAGGGCATGCACGTGGGAGTGTAAACAGGAAGGAATAAGCTGGCAGTTTAAGCTGCAGTTGTATCATTGTAAAATGCAGAATTGAACTGCACAACATCTGTTACCAATGACAAAAGGGTCATTAGGCTTAGCCGGTTGATAAGAGCTTTGATAAGAGCATGATAAATCAGCAAAGGCTACAACATGACTGAAAAGACCCAATAAGTAGGCAGTTATGAGTGTCTACGTCATTGTTTCCAAACTTCTCTGTTACTGTAACGTTTCCAAACTTCTCCGTTTCAGTGGCTCTTAAACTCCAGCCCAGGTGTATCCATAGTAGAGTTGGTGCATGTCATCAGGTTTCTCACCTCTCACACACATGCAGCTAAAGACTAATGTGAGTCAATAACTGACTAATAACAAACTACAAATCATGAGGTGAACCACATGAGAAAATCAAGCAAATGGGTCCGGCCTGTGAGGGCATTTCAGATGATGCAACTGCAAAATGATTTGAGTGTTAAACACTGATTGTAAAATGATAAATTAAATTTATCAAGAAAACTTTCTTATCTACTGATTTTCTCTCTATCATGCGAGTCCAGCCCCTCCTTCCTCCTCCCACTATACATTTGGCAGAAAAATCCCTACTTGCACATTTCACGAGTCTATCTCTTTCTCCACACTCCACCAGCTTCGTATAGTCATCCCTCCATCATTTCTTTCTGTCTGGCTCCTGACAGAGAGGTGATTAGGACGGGAGACCTGCTGAAGAAGCAGCTTAGCTGTAATTATCGTCTTGGAAGGAAACAAACTGTTCATCAGAGCCTTCCTCCGCACACTTAACCACTGTTGCCAGGATATATCAAATGCTCGACAACCAGCCGTTACCAAGGTTACCATTGTCTCTGTGTGGCTGGGGGCTCTCTGAACAGATGAGTTATTTTTTTCTTTTTAATTTGTTCAAAAATGGCAACATGCTGCAACCCATGACACACAGACTTCATTTCCTGTGCCATGTTTTCTGTCACGCTCCATATTGTTCATGTACTGATACACACACATTCCGCCTTTTCCATAAATTATTTGTGTGGCATTTCTAAAGAGTGGAGAGTGACAGGGGAAATATGTTGAGGGGAAGTAAGGAGGATGTGATAATAGTCCCCGGCTTACTTCATCTGAAGATATCACAGTCGCATGGTACACAAACTGCTGTCATAACTTTCCATCAATGTAACACTCTGAAGTCAAGCATGTAATAAAGATATTACTTTAGTCGATATATCTCTGCCTTGGGTCAGAAACCTCTGACACATGTGCAAGCATGGGCACGTGAAGCCATTTTCAATTGCACATGACAAAGCATATATTACACTACTCAATGACAAATGTTATCGCTTTGTTAGATATGAAATTAGTGTGGTCCAATAAGTATGACTTCCAAAATCAGGTTGCTGATAAAAAAAGACGATGAAGTAATGTTGACATGATGATCTGTTGAAGCTGCACAAAACACGGAGGCTGCATGCATCATGGCAAGCAGATCAAGCAGGCCTCGTCTGGAGGATGGAGTTCAAGAGGTGACGACGCTGCATGTGAAAATGTTGTGTGTTCAACATTTTCACAGTAAGCGTGAAACAATCTTAATGAGTGCGATAAAACTGAGTCAATCAAGAAAGCATAGTCTTTAAATACAAATCAAAGAGAGTGCTATTAAGCAAAGGAGGTCATTGAGTAAGAACCCATCATGGCCTCTATCTGCAGCTGCTTTTGCGAGGCACATTACTGATATGGTAGAAAATGAACAACTGATATCACAGGCCCTTATGTTCAGGCTGCAGATACAAGTGGATACACAAATCACTTTGGGTGACTGAGTAGCTTGAGGCAGCGACAACGACTGTACTGATTAGTATGCCCAGTTTACATTTGACTCATTAGTAGACTATATCATATTGTGCTTTTTTATATTGTATGTGTGAATGAGAAATGGTATCTTACAAAACTATTATGAAAATAATTTTAATAGGGATGTAAGATTAATCAATTGACCCCATTAAAAAAGTATACACTACTGCATCATGTGTAATATCTTTGCATTACTCAAATTATTTAATTATACATATCAGTAGAGGTCCTATGTATTTATCGTTTCCACTGCTGTTCCCTGGCCACTTCTCATCGCCTCTTGTGAGTTGGGAACATGTCTGGGTGAGTCACAGATTACTATGGAGGAGTAGTAGCTACACATTTCACCAAATTGACACAAATCACTTCAGATATTTCAAGAGAGACAGAAAAATTTGACATGAAATTTGCAAATGCACTTTCCAACACTAAAGTATAACAACAGCAGCAAAGCTCTCTACTCCCAGCTGAGTTATTGAACCTGCTGAAAGTGTAGGGCCCATCCAGATTCTGGCAGTAGTTGTGCTACATATAGTACCTCAGTGATGGAGATGAACACCTCTATATTTTAACAATATACTTGTGCTACAATCTAATTAATAATATAGGCTTCATGGCACAACATTTTCATTGTGCTGAAATAATTATTTGAAGCGTTGATTTCTCAATTGTTTGATTAATAGAGAAAAGCATAATAATTTGAGTATCAGTTGAAATATGTGACAGTATGAATATCTTTTGCACAAAACAACCAATCTAAATATGTCAACATGGGCTCCAGGAAATGTTGTCACTCTTCTCAGACATTTTAAACCAAGTTATAAATCATTATATGTTGACAGATAAATCCATAATTAATGTGACCTGCATTCTTACTATGAAACAAACTCTAACCAACTACAGTCAGAATTGATCAATCATTTATAAGATGCAAACACAAATTATCCATCTCCATCTAAGGCCTGATCCACATGCACAGTATATCCTATTATTCACTGTTGCAATGACGCACATTACCCCCAAAGATATACAATAGTTGTATCTGTATGCAGCTACATACAATGTGTCTTACATTTTAAGATCCTCTAATTAAGTCTTCTCCTAATTCAAAAGATTACTCCCTGAATACCAGCCATTAAGGTATTTCCCCTCTAGTCTCTTCTGGGGCTCTGGCATTAGATCAATAGCAGAGTCCCAGCAACCAATGAGGAACCAGCTCTATGATTCAGAGAGAGAAACAGAGAAGGGAAGTAAAGGAATGAAATGAATGACAGGTCAGGGTTTCCCTCACAGAAAAGACCGAGGCGGCAGCCTCTATAGAAAACAGGTGCTGCTAATAGTAAACCCATATGATATGCTTCACAGGTGCATGACCGCAGAAGAAGTAGGTGAAGTGTATCATCTCTGCTGCTGAAGGACAAACACTCACGCACACACAGACGCAGAAGGAAATGTGTCCTCTTCCCACTGATGGACAACAGAAGCTGTGGCAGAAGGACGGCATTAAAAACCAGCAGGGGATGTAGTGTGATGAAAATGTCAGATCAAAACCAGCAGGTTATGTTCTGTAACATGTTTAATCAAATTACTGTGTGCGTGTGTGTGTGTTTATTGATTTATAAGTGTAGAAAACAAGTTCTAATTAAAAAGGACAAACTGTAAATCTGCATTAATTCTTTTTAAAATCTGATCTTGCTCTATCACACTGTTCTGACAGATCTAGAACTTGCTACCAATTTCTAGTTCAAAGGCTTTTACAGGACATGTTAAATTAATTTAATGACAACCTCTGCAGCTTTTTGCAATCTAGTGACATAATTACATTTACAAGCTCGAAAATCTGTTACACTCTAGATTCTCTTTGTGCATGACACTGATCGTGCACTCCCAAGCCCTGACTTGCACATTACTGCTGAAATTTGTTGCATGTGGGTGATGTGAATGTCTTTCGTGCCTTGTGTGTAAGCCTCCAGTGTTTATGCATGGTTATGCTTGGCCACCTGTGCGTTTGTGCATGTGTTATTGTGTGTGTAATCGCATAACTTACCCAGCCAGTACAATGAAGAAGTCCAAGCGGTTCCATGTGTCACCAAGGTAACAATTCTTGCCGAAAATCCCCAGAGCCACCATCTTGATCACCATCTCAACAGCGAAGAACGCAAAGATGAAGTCGTCGAAATCCTGCAGAGTGATTAAAACAGAAAATACAAGGGATCACCAGTTGCAAGTTTGCTGTCAACAGTCTAAAACAACTAACTACTACCATTCCATTAGAGATCAAATGTCAGATATGTTCATCTTCCAAACTCTAATGTCTTACATAGAAATACATTTACTTCAGGACCTGAACATGAAAAGAAGGTACATTAAAAAGAAACAGCAAGGTACAGCTGGTACTCAGCCGGACATTATACAGTTGAACAATCTCAAGAGGCTACAGCCATGCTAGCAGCACCGTGAGGCTATATTTTGGCTTTACGGTGCCTTGAGCTAAATTCTAACATGCTCACAAAGCTAACACGCTGATGTTTAGCAGGCATGATGATTACCATGGTCACCATCTCAGTTAAACATTTACTAACTTTTGCTATTTGAACAAAATGTGTTAAATGTTAAACCTAAAAAATATAAAAAATACATTTATACATTTATATTTTTCCTCTGGGGAGAATGAATGTGTTATCAATTTCATAGCAATTTTGGTCACAGAGATATTTAACTACAAACACCCGACTACAAATTCCAGCCTCACGGTGATGCTTGAAAGTTAGAAGAGTCACATTATAAACATAGCTATATACATCCTCTGGGAGCATGCCAATATAAGTGTTTGGAAAAACAAGGTCATGGGATCACCATGAGTCAATGAGATTGACCCTCTGAGTACCATGGATGTCTGTATCAAACACTATGGCTATCCATCTAATAGTGGTCAAGATATTTTGGTCTGTACCAGAGTGGCGAATCACCCAGACCGACAACGCCACATAGTGTGGCTCAGGTCTGATAAGGGGTGGTCGCATTTGGAAGGAGAGGGAGCACCACAAGTGACTATTTATTATTACGTGACCATTTTTCTGTAATTTGGTTAATTGTTAATAGTTAAGCCTTCTCCATTTGAACTGAGCAACTCCGTCCTATACATGTGATCACAATCACCAATAAATGTCCATTATGTTTTCCAAGGTCAATAATGAACCTTTGAGCTTCAGCTGCTGTTTATTTATTGGCCAACACAATAGAATAAAAGTAACAATCTATGAGACCTCTCCATTTCAATAGCCATGCTTCTATATCAGTCACATTTGATGTTCCAAAAGGCAACTCAGAATATGTGTTGTCAATGTGATACTTAATAACTGCAGATGAATCCTCTTTATCTATGCCCTGCTGTAAGAAAGTCAGGCTCCCAGTGGGAAAAATATCAGAGATAAGGGCATCCTGGCAGCTAAAAAAGGATTAAGTGTCTTGCTCAAGGACACTTCAGAAAACCAAATGCTCGCTTACAGCACAGGTCAAATGATGGTTTTGCCATTATCCTGCCTTAACAGACACTCAATTGCAAATGTTTTCACATTCAAAGCACATAAAGTAATAATCTAGAACAAGCCGCTCATTGCACTAATTGCTCATCTGACTGTTTGGCTGTGCTTGAATTGGACTGAAGAAGAAAACAAGGACAAAGGAACATAACCTTAATTTTTAAAATGTGAAAATCTATAAATGAATTAACAAAGGCAGAGGAGAAGGAATTTGAGATGAGGAGGAAAAAAGTTAAAGAAAAATAAAAGACAAAATCTGGAAGGAGATCAAGGCACAGGACACCCACTGATAGATGAGTCATCCAAAGAAAATGTATAAATATATCAAATCCTGTTAGCTTAGGCAGACGCTAGACCCTCATTGCTCTGAAGTCAAAATGTGGAGGTTCACACAGGAATGTATATTTGTGCGTGTGTGTGTGTGCATGAACAACTAAAATGCTCAACCATCCCATCTTTGGAGAGCACTGATGGAGTCTGCAGAGAAAACCCAGCAGATTTTATTCAACACATTGAACTCCGTGGCTGCTCTCAGGACATACCGCTTAGCAGACAGAGGGTGTCTTTAGCAAACAGCTGCACCGTGTTGACTCCATCACCGGACACTGCATCGCTCCAGATGTTTAACACACTACTCATTTACTCCAAAAGAGGCAGAAGAAGCTCAAAGCAAATTGTTCAGTGATGCGTAATCTCCAAAAAAGAAAAGATCTAAATTTAATGTGGACTGTGCTGGAACTAACTTTTGCATGTAGGGCACAAGAGCATCAAAGTACATGACCTTGTGCAACTGTTTCCACTATTGAATGCTGATTTGAACACAAGCCTTATCCGTATGACTTAAATTAGATATATAATCAAGTTATAAAATTAAGTTGTACCATCATCATAATATCTTTTGTGGATAGACTTTATAGTCACATTGTTGAAGGAATACTGTAATTTACAGATGATTTCTTAGAAAACCTAATTCAGCCACATTAGTAGAAGAGAACATACAACATTCAGTCTTGCTCACCTATTCATAATCTCATGTTCAGTTTTTCATATATATTTAAGAATCCATACGTGAAGATTAGGGGGGACAGCATCTATGGACACAATTAGATTATGCTTTTGGGGGGCAAGCCACATTTTTTAAAAAGTAAAAAATGCTTGAAAGGTATAATTCACTTTGAAAACCAATTCTCTATTTCATGTGGCCTGCTGGCAATGCTTTGCTCATTGTATTCTGCCTGATAAAGACAACTGTGGACAACAAATGAAGCAGCCTTAAGGCTCTTTGTTGATCATTTAGGTCAAACATTTGATCTTAAAGTCGTTAAAAGACCACAATCGTTGGACAAGACAGAAACATTTTCAGAATTGTTGTTATGTGTGTTGGCAAGTGGTGTTTAACAAGCGTGAGCAGTGAACTTTGGGTTGCATCAGCGAAATGAAGTTACGGTCCAGACATGGAGACACCAGGCATAACAAATAGTTGACATCTGTCATGCATGCCTTTAGGTCTTTATTGCAAATCGATACTGCAGAGAGCCCACTAAAATTGGGTAAATATTACTTTGAATGAATTTAATATGTTAATAGAATTAAAATAATAAGTAAAGACACATCAGCTTTAAAATAAGCTTTAGTGGATGGGACTGGTGTTTCTTCCCCATGTTAGGACTCAAAAGATGCTTTGCACACTGGGTCAGGAATGACAGATAACAGAGCACAACAACACACTGTTGGAAAAATAACAACAAAGTCTATTGGCAGATGTTACAACCTGAGAAATGACAGAACGAGCAGTGTGTGAAGTAGAGAAGAGCAGAGTTGTTAACCGCCACACTGAGCATTAAATGAGCCCCTTGCTTTCTCCTCTTATACTCCCTCCTTCTCCCTAGGATCTGTTTTGGAGGCATTTCTCTTGTTTCTGGTAAGGACTTCTCACTCATCTATTTTGTCTCAGCTCTACATGTCCTCCTACTCTGTCTGAACCGCCCCACACACACACATTAGACACATACTGTAAATACACACACATGTACATCTGCATTGATTACATAACACATACATGAATATGAACACTTTAACATATACAACATGGGACCAAGCCTTCGGGGAAATAAATTGACATTGAGCAAATGTCAATCAGCGCACGCATGCACTCACACACAAACACACAGACAAACAAAATCTATGCATGGCAGGACATTTCATTTCTACAAAGTCAACAGGACATGCTGGCCTGAGGCTTCCCCACAGCAGCACCACATTGTAACACTAACTCTATTGATTCCACGAAACTTGTGTTACACATCAGTGGAGCGTGACACATTTTGCATGATCCTGAGGAACATTGATCAGGTCTGATATCTAAACATACAGGAGTCGCTGTAATTGTCTAGATCAATTACAGCCTGAAATCTCCAAGGTTTCTTGAGACTTAGACCCAATCCCATTTCACCCCTTGGCCCTACCACTTAGCCCCTCCCCTTTGTTTCACGCATTCCGGTGTAGATGTAGGCTGTCCCAACACCTGTTGGGACGGAGGGGTAGGGCCAAGGGTTAGGGCTTTATAGCTCGAAAGGAAGATTCGAACCCTCACTTCAAACCGAGGGGTATGGAAATTTCACAGAATGCCTTGCGAATCACCGGCAAGCTGGGAGACCCGCAAATGTTGTATTTTCTCCATTAATAAGGATTTCAAAATTATGATGATGATTATATCTTAATGTCATTTCAATATATTATTATGGTCCTAAAGATTGTGAGTGCCCTTGCATTAGCATGCTAGCGATCTTTTCATGCATGGTAATCCCGTATTTTCACATAATTTAATGTCGCACCCCCCCGCTTTTGATTCATATATGAAATAATGCAGGGCATCCAAGCTTTTCAATTTCAAATGTCATTGAGTCACCTGCATTAGCATAGATGTGATTTTGATATTATAGGTTTATCACTTTAATAGCTGCAAACTGTAGCATTGGTTTATTTATCTCAACAAATTTATTACAATGACATCCCAGGCAAAACTTTTCGTCTCGTCTTTTTAGTTGTTTCTTGACAACTACTGATGATGTGACAGGTTTTTGTTACGACTACTGATGATGGAACGGCTTCTTTAAGGGCTGTCCCAATTTGTAGGCCAAGAATTCAACCACTACTTCTTGGGACTCTGTTTCAAGGGGCAAGGTAACCCTCGAAAACAACGGGTAGGGGTGGGGGTAGGGAAAAAGGGGTGAAATGGGATTGGAGCTAAAACTTCAAAGCTGTGCATTTACCGAAACATAAATACTGTATGTGTTGGTCTGTTGTCACTATGGTTCACTGGTAATGTGTCCATGTGGAGACCAGAAAAGCTAAACACGCATACACACAGTCACAAACACACTTCTGCCTCTAAGGGAACAGACACCAGTGGCCTGTGCTGAACGGCTCACTGCTCACACACTCCCTAATTTCTACCCCCAACTGCATTCTCTCCCTGCAAAGACACAAAGAGAGAGAGAGACAGAGTATTTTATCTCCTCTGGAGATTTTCTGCAACTTTTGGAATGTCTCCATGGAATAATGAGACTTTCGCATTATCTGAAAACTAAACTGAAAAGTTAATTATGGTATATCATCCAGCCTAATCCCGCTTCAGAC